AAGCAATCAGAATGACAGCTTTAAATATTTAAGTGTTTTAAAAGGAATGATCAGAAATCTTAGAAACTGTTGCAAGGTTTCCACTATGAATTAAACCATTCTTCTATCTGGCCAATGCCCTCCAATGCTTTGTGTCACTGTTTTAACTGTCTTCTGAGCTGTGGTAATAAAAAATTGTGCTGATGAGACAGGATGGCATTGTGTAGAGGACAAAACCGATGATGTCATTTTGCATTTGTGCTGAGAAAGCCTGTGGGAAAACTGTTCCATTATTTCCCATCCGTTTTCGTTATATGAAGGGAAGGAGATCACATTACTAATGAGAAAGGGGGAAAAAGTGCACAGTCTAGTGAATTCTGTATACTAGGTCTGTTTCAGACTGCAGTTCAAAGAGTTTTGACTGATAAGTCCTTGCTGCCATTTCAAATTAAAGCATATTTTGTTGCATCCTTTTGCATGTGCTTGTCAGAAACAAAAAGGATAACTCCAGTAGCTCAGAAATTTATAACAAGTAGGTTTGTGCACTGGATTTAGACAAATTCCAAATCCCAAGCCAAATCAAGCTGTTTTAGACCAGTTTGTAGGCGGTCTAAATGGCCAGATTTGACTCCGGTGAAGAAAAGTGAATTCAGAAATCAACTCATGTCCAGAGAACAGAACGAAATGGGATGAAGCAGAATTCCCTTTAGCACTTTTCATTGTTGAGAAAAAAGCAAACTTTAAAAGTTGCTTAATATACCAACCTCTGAAGCTACCTCTCTGGTATTTGGCAGGCTTACTTCCCCTTTAGTGGTCTATCTATATCCAAATAGCATATACCTTGTTTTTCCAATATAAGTTGGTGGGTGCGTTACAGATCTGCTCACAAATGGGGAGCAAATCCAGTCAAATGGGGGTACAGATTGCTCTGAATCAAATCGGGATACATTCCAAAGCCACCAATTACCCTCCAAATTGGATTGGAGGACCTGTCCACAGTCCTGGCAACTTGCTGGAAATGCTGTAGATGTTTTATAGCTATTCAGTTTTCTTCCTTTATCTTTCTGATATTCAAGCATTAAAGTCATTGCTTACAATACATGATCAACATAGCACTATCTGTGTTCAAGAGGAAAGCATCAAGAACCTCAATGTTGGCAGATGTCTGAAAAAAAGTTATGACCAGGAGCACTCCAGGCTGCAATTTTTTTTTTTTTGCAAGCCCATCTAGACTTCCTTTGCAGTACAACTACATTATTACTATTAGCTAGAAAGACAACAGCCACACAGAAGAAATATACAGTGGTGCCTCGTTTAACTACATTAATTCGTTACAGCGAAATGCTGTAGAGCGAAAACATCATAAAGCGAAATTAAAAAGCCCATAGAAACGCATTAAAACCCGTTTAATGCGTTCTGATAGGCTGGAAACTCACCGTCCAGTGAAGATCCTTCATAGGGCGGCCATTTTTGCTACCTGTGCAGTGGGGAATTCATCCCAGAAAACAGCGGGGGGCCATTTTGTTTACCCAGTGGCCATTTTGAAACCGCCGATCAGCTGTCCGAAAATAATCGTTTTGCAAAGAATCGGTTCCCGAAGCAGGGAACTGATCATCGCAAAGCGAAATTCCCCCATAGGAAACATCGTAAAGCGATCGCAAAAGCGATCTCAAAAAGTTCATCGTAATGTGGTTTCGTCGTTAAACGGAGCGAACATAAAGCGAGGCACCACTGTACTAGGGAAATGGAAACATAAGGGTAAATTATAGCTGAACTGCTGAGAAAGTGCCAGAGCTCCTATTTTTCTTCTCAGCTGACTTTGCCTCATGCCTGCTTTCTTTGTCTTGTTGTGATGTTTCCATTCAGTAGCTGTGCTGACTTGCTAATTTTAGGATAACTCCCAGACTAGTGGCTCCTAGCACTTCATGACTGTTATGCTTGCAGTGTAAATTATGCTCATAATTGCAATATGGGTGTGGGAGAGACAACCCACCTGAATATGCCTCTTTCAACTAAAAAAGTTAACTAAGGGTTAACGTTAAAGTTTTTTAAAAAGGGAATTTCTGCAAAAACATCTTTTTAATACTTTTGCACAGTAGCTTTCATAATTTTAAAAGTGTTTTGAAGTGTTTAAAGAAGGCTATACAAAGTGAAGAGGGCTACATTGTGATGAGATGACATTACTCAGATATAAAACAATATTTAGATTGATTAAATGCCTTTAAACTTGAGAGCAATTGTACAAATATTTTAGGAAAGCAGACATGCAAAGGAAGCATTTTAACATGCATTAAAAGGCTTAGCTTATTTAAAAAAGCATTGTTAAAATAATATATAAAAAGTAAAGGGAGCTGTGTTAGTGTGTGTGCAAAATAGGAATTTTCAGCAATAACTTTATTTATAAAGATTAAACAGTATGTCAGAAAGGAGCAAGCAAGCATTTGAATTCTTCTGAATTCTTAATAAGTTGAAATGCTAAGAAGAGGGTGAGGGAAAGAAGAATTTTTTAAAAAAAAAATCTACAAAAAGGGGCTGTGTTTAAATTTAGTCTCAAGAGGGAGAGTGTGGTCTGAATCAGTTAGCCACAGCATGATGCTGCAGTTGCCAGGTTACATCTAAGATTTTAGAACAAAGAAGTGATCTCTGGTCTTAACTTTTATTTATTTATTTATTGGACTTATTTATTTATTTATTGGGCTTATATACCGCCCCATAGTGCTACAAGCACTCTCCGGGCGGTTTACAATTTTTAATTATACAGGCTACACATTGCCCCCCCAGCAAGCTGGGTACTCATTTAACCGACCTCGGAAGGATGGAAGGCTGAGTCAACCTTGAGCCGGCTACCTGGGATTTGAACCCCAGGTCGTGAGCACAGTTTTAGCTGCAGTACAGCGTTTTAACCACTGCGCCACGAGGCCTTTTGAAAACATAAAGTCCAGCTCGACACTGGAACGTGTAGATCACTAGCCCTTCTCAGGTTCTAAATCCAGGTACATAAGCATGTCATTTATTTTATTTATTTATTGTTTCAGTTTGCTATACCACACCCGCTAGTGCCACAGCACTACTCTGGGCGGTTCACATGAATTAAGCAAATAGTTAATGTGATAAAACCATAACAACTAATGTTATATCATGTTATTGTTTCTATAATCCTCCGTATCTGGTGAACAATTTTCTGTAAGCAGAGTCTTCTCTGTGCTGTCCTCTTCAGGAAGTTGGCACCCATGTGAGAAGAGTGTCAGAAATGAATGAGTTGGATTTGGGCCTTCCATACTTTCCTTGTGTGTTTATTGTATCCAGTTCGTAAATGTGCAAGCAGGACTATTATGTTTTCATCACAAATGGTAGGGCTCAACTATAGATGCACCTCAACAAGGAATAAGAATTCTCCTGCAGACTTGAGTTGATGTTGTGTGTGCAGTGGGAAGAAGAAAATGAATGAATTAATTTAAACTAAACAAAATATTTGGTTATGAAGAAGTACAGTTATATAATAATAAATAATAATTGACTTACGGTGACCTTTTTCAGGGTTTTCTAAGTAGAGAGTACTCAGAAGTGGCTTGCCATTCCCTGTTTCTGGGGGCATCTTGCGACTGTGCAGTTTATCCAAGGCAATACAAGCTGCCTTTTCCAGGGTGCACAGTGGGGAACTGAACTCCCAACTGAACTCCCAAAATGTAGCTACTCTAGCTATCCAGTCAACCACAGGTCTACAAATGCAGAGACAATTAGTACAAATATCTTTTTATTACACACATTGGGCATATCTGGTCAATGGAAGCCTTGTGAACCTCTTACATTCCATTTTCACCCATTAGATAATCGCCTTTAGCGGTGTGTTCATAATATTGGAATTGACTGATTCAGAGCTCTTTTAGTGTATTTGAGCAATGAGGCATGAAACAAAAGTTTACGAAGGGAACATAATTGGGTCTGGTCTTGAGTTTTCTCAGTATTTGTTAATAGGGTGCATTTCTGCAGAATCTTTTTCATCTGTATTTTGCATAGTTCATACTGATGCTTTAACTGATAATTTGCAATACTTTTAATAACAATTTTTCTGTCCCTTCTTTTCATCTCCTCCTCACCTTAGACCCTGTTTCCTGGATTCCCCATTAATTAGTTTAAAAGTTCATCAGTTATGGTTTAAAGCATGGATAAGGCTGACAAGAATGTCCCTTAAATCAGGGACCCTCAGATGGGGGATGGTTTTTCTGAACCTAGGCTGGGACGGGCCTGGCTGGCTGGAACCAGTGTTGGACTAGCACTCAGGAGACCTGAGTTCAGATTCCCACTTGGCAATGAATCTCACTGGTGACCTTGGGCCAGTCACACACTCTCAGCCTGATGGACATCAGATGGGGTTGGGGAGAAGAACTATCTAATAATAATAGCATTATGTCAGCACTGGCCCTGTGAGCTATTTCCTATATATGTTTCATTTGGCATAGACTGAAGAATGTTTCTGTTAGAGAAGCCATACTTGAATTGAAATTCTAGGTCTTAGATTCTGATGATGCTTAATCGGTTTAAAAAATGGCAGTGAAACAATATTTTGTATGTTCTTTTACCAGTTTTAATCATGGGAATATGACAGTGATTTTGCTCAGGTACACTGATTAAAGAGCAGAACTTTATTTATTTATTTATTTATTTATTTGATTTATATCCCGCCCATCTGGTATATCATACCACTTTCAATGCTGATCGATCAGTCAGTTGAGCAATCAATTAGTCAATGAATTAGGAGTACTTAAAAGTACCATACCACTTTCAATGCTGATCAATCAGTCAGTTGAGCAATCCGTCAGTCAATGAATTAGGAGTACTTAAAAGTACTTAAAAGGAGTGGTAGAATGTACCAGATGGGCGGGATATAAATTGAATAAGTAAGTAAGTAAGTAAGTAAGTAAGTAAGTAAGTAAGTAAGTAAGTAAGTAAGTAAGTAAGTAAGTAAGTAAGTAAGTAAGTATTTTCCAATATTTAAATGTACCTTTTTTGCTTCCTAACAGAGTCATCATGTCAGACAAGAGTGATTTAAAAGCAGAGCTTGAACGCAAAAAGCAACGTTTGGCTCAAATAAGAGAAGAGAAGAAGCGGAAGGAGGAAGAAAGGAAAAAGAAAGAGGTATTTATTTATTTATACCTTGTCTTTCTTCTTTTTTTACAACCCAAGGTAGTTTACAACAAAATTGTATGAAATTGATTACTACTGTTGCTAAGATTTATATCACCATGCTATATATAGCTTTGATTATGTTGCTGAAGCTGTAGGTGCCCACATGTCGAGATAAACATCTTGAGTTGGCTCAGGGTGCTGAGATGTGTTTGGGGACAACTTTAAACTTGCTCCATTGTAATCCTATTGGCATTGGGGTCACAGGACAGTACAAGTGACGTTAGCAAGCTTGATTGGCCCTATTGTAGGAGTTACCAGTGAGTTAGTTTGAGAAAGAACACTTTCTATTTTGGGCTATGTATACAATATATAAATATTTGCTTTGTAGTCTCATGCTTATGCCTGAGAAAGTGGCCTTGTGGCCTTACTAGATGGACGTTTTGGGGAACTATGCCCCCAAATGTAATTTTTAGACAGTTAAAAATGAGACCCACAAAAAATAAGAAAATACTGGCTGTCTAAGCCTGTACTTACAAAGTAGCATGGTTCCAGTGCACACACAGACAGAGTTCAGCAGAATCACAAGTTTTGATTACTTGTTGAAAGATGAAGCAAGCTAAGCATAAGCTATCGGCTATCAGCCTAATCTTAATATTATTTGTAGTGATTCTGAAATATAATCACGTTGATGTTCTGTTGATGACAACCTAGCATTGGCCTGAAGTGGTACTATTTACACTGGGGAACAAAGGTTTTTGTCTATATGTGAGTGGGCTGTTTTTTTGTTTAGTTCTATTACAACCTGTGCCTTCCACACCTCACTTTATTGCTGGCTAGCTCGGTGGCTTGGTTGCTAAGGTAGCAGATTTGTACTTCTGTTCTCCAGCAAAGTAAATGATAATTGCAGTTGCCTTTTAGCCTCCTGGCTTTGGCGCATCATTAAGCTCGGCTGAGGCTTGACTGACATACGAGTTTATTTGTCCTTGACAATACAGTGTGAGGTTGTGTGCTTTTTTAAATTATGAGATTTGTACTTTAAAAAAAACCCCAACCACTTAACAAAACAGGGATGAGAATTGACAGAGAATAGATAATCATTTTTATGCGAAGTCAAGGAAGCATTAAGTGATTATGCTTCTTGTCTTCCAGATGTCAACATGTGCTGGCTGTATAAAGCACCTGTTATCCCTTTTTTAATAACTGGCTTGCTTTTAATTGACATTTTAATATTGCACGTGTGTTTCATACAATTATTAGGATGTGTGATTTGATACAAGGACCCAGCTTGGAATTTTTTTACTATAGTTTTTGCTTTTTCCCCTCACCCCCCTCTAAGCACCATTATCTTTCCTTCTCTCACACAGTCAGGCACATAACCTTTGGGTGACAAAATGTCAATAGGTTCCCTCCCTGGCAGACCACTTGTTGTCCTGCTCTGGGGATCCTTGTTCAGTTGCAGCTTTGCAGCACTTGCTTATAGGCACCAAAATCTTTTTCAAACATTGTGGTAGTCAGAATGCTAAAGGAGGTATGATTCTAGCTCAGTGATAAATTACACATGTTGAAATAAAAATGTTTCAGCTTCCGTCCATCTCATGTAACAGTAGGGCTGGAAAGCCTCCCCCCCATTTGAAACCTAATGCGCATCTATTGTTATAGGGTGCATCATACCGAGCTAGATAAACTGGTGGTCTGGCTTACTGTTCGTCAGTGTGTGACGCTTCTAAGCATATTTTAGACTTACAGTGGTGCCTTCCTTAACGAGCGCACTGTTTAATGACGAATCCGCATAGCGATGCGTTTTTTCCGATCGCTAATGCGATCACAGTGCGATGTTTAGATAGGCTAAACATTGCATTGCGATGATGGTAAGCGTTTCACTTACCGATCTTCGCATTGCGATGTTTAGAAAACAGCTGATCGGCGGTTCCAAAATGGCCACTGGGTGCAGAAAATGGCCACCCGCAGCATTTTCGCGCCCTGCCCTCACTTACCGGGCAGCGAAAATGGCGGCCGGATGGGGGAATCTTCGCTTACTGTTGAGTTTTTCCCCAATAGGAACGCATTTAATGTGTTCCTATGGGGTTCCCCCCCGCATAGCAACGAATTCCGGATAGCGACGTTAATCCTGGAACGGATTAACGTCGCTATGTGGGGCACCACTGTATTTGACGGAAAATATTTATCCTGTCTTTCTGGTCTTGTGCCATTTCAAGGCAGCTCAGAAGGTTAACAAGAAAACATACAAGCCGCAAAATATCTATCCTGCCTTTCTGGTCTTGTGCCATTTCAAGGCACCTCAGAAGGTTAACAAGAAAACATACAAGCAAGTGTGAGAAAACAAAATAAAATTAGAATGCAAGCCACACAAAACATCATCTTTCTTTCTATGCCTTACTGCAAAGGTATGCTACCCTTTTGGACTCAAGAGGTGCTCCCAGTGTTGACATGGGTGCCTGGGCCCACATATGTTTGCCTATGTAAGAGATATATCCATATCCTTTAAATATACTCTCTTTTTCCTGCATACTCCTTAACTCTAATTCACACCTACATACAGAAATATCTCAGCAGCTGCACGTGGGTAAATGTGTGTGCTGTATAAAATGTCACTTAGTCTAAAGAAGTACCTTCAAGGTATCTAGAACAGCCTTCCCACGTGTGCTGCCTTACAGGTGTTCTGGACTTGAACTCCCATGGTCCCTTGCCACGTTAGTTGCTGGTAGTTGTTCAGAGCACTGTGTTTTGGGAGGCTGCTTTATAGGGCCGCTCATTCAGATAGGTTCAAGGGTTTTAAACAAATGTAGAGATTGTTTTGTCAACAGAAAAGGCCAACATTGGCCGTTGCAGTTGGTAGGTTATATGTTTGGTATTAATTTTAACTTTCAAAATTACAGTTGCAGGGGGTGGAGTGGGGTTTGAGGATTGGGGGATGTAACCTTCCCCCCCCCATGCACCACAGCTGCATTGTCAATCATCCTTCAGATCTGTTGTTTCCCTTGGGAAGTAAGCTGGCATGGTGCCAAGAAATACATTCTGCCCCACCATTTAACACAAACTTATTTCTGCCTGTCTCACAATTTTTTTCCCTTGCTGTTATTTCAGGCAGATTTTCAGCAAAAGAAAGAGCCCACTCAGGAAGATTCTGATCTAGATCGCAAGCGAAGGGAAACTGAAGCGTTATTGCAGAGCATTGGTATTTCCCCAGAACCACCTCTAGGTACTCAAGATAAATCCATCCACACTTGGACATTTTTCTTACTGTAGCATGCTTTTCTTTTCTTGCTTTAGCTACATTTTCTATGCAGTGTATTCTTCTTATATGCATACTGCCTATTGCTCATATAACCAATTTACAGCATTTTTACTGTTATCTTTGTTGAATGTCAGCTTTGTGTGTCAGTGCTGTGTTCATTCATTCCCTTAAAAAGTCTCTTATCCCTGGCCACATCATGGGCTGCTGCTCTCACATTCATCTCAAAATAGATTTGATTTAGCATCGTTAACCCATTATTTTCATACATATAACAATAATTTCTGCTTTGAAAACAAATTTCTTTATTGCACTTTAAAACAAAAATTGCTGTAAACAAATTTTAAGAAAATAAACATTGATGTACTGGCCAATTTCCTTCTGTATGTATGGCCCCCTCTCTTTCTGCTTTCTGTTTCTTCATTTCAACTTCATTATGTGTACTACAAAATGTGGGTTTTCATTTTCTATTGTGTTTGAAGTTGTACTCAGTCTTTATTGCTGAGCAGTAGCTTATAACAGTTCTTTTATTCACTTTTCCTTCCATTTCAGTGCTTCTTACTTATCTTTGTTTTTTTTCCCTATGTGTGACACTTAAGGGGAGGCAAAAATGAGTATAGGGTTTAGATGACCATTCGTGATCACTGTCAATTTCATACAATTTAACAGTGTAGAAAATCAATTCCATATTTACATGTTATTTGGTGGCTAGTTCTTTTTTAAAAAGGCTGCAGCAACTCAGCAGACAAAAAGTAATTTTTTCGTTGATAAAGCACTCTTAAATATTGAACTTCATTATTACATGACAAACCATGATCTTTTGTCCGTCACACGATTAACAATCTTCCCCACTATTCTCAGATGTGTCAGAAGCAGCACATATAATTGGATACAAAGCTTTCAAATGAGAGTAAAAATTGTAATTTTGCTTGTGGGTCCCACTGCTTCCCCTTCTGCAGCCCTGGCGGCTGAGGAGCCAGCCCCACAGCAAAAATTTCATGGGTTCCAGCCTGGCACAGTGTCAACCCTTAATGTTCCTTCCCCAATAATTCCAGGGCACTAACCCACTGGGCACTGTTGGTCTGGCTAGGGCCCTCAGTTGATTTCACTGGGACACCAGAAAGGCCAAGTCCAGAGAAGCAGGGAGGGAGTAGGAATCCTGGTACTATAGGGTGCAGTCCTTTTAAGGGAGGGCTGGCAAAGGCAGATGTTGGGGACCTGGTTCCATGGCGCTGCTCCTCCCAGAGCCTCCCTTGCCTCACCTGTTGCTGCTTGTGTCTCTAGCACTGAAGCTGGGTTAGGGTAGACTCTGTGTCTTCTGTTGGGCGGGGAGGACACCAGTGCCTGGAGTGAGGCTGAATCAGTTGGGAGCTGTACTGCCAGAGCTTGAGGTCTCTGACCTCTTTACAGCCAAATGGGCGGGGGCTCGAGCAACTGGCTCCCTTTGTCCTCCATTCCTGTTTGCACTTCCATGGAGGTGAAGAAGGTGGGTTTCCAGTGCCTGATTGCCTCCTTCCATGTCTCTTCTTCCTCTGATCTGGTTGATAACAACCCTGAACCCTCTTATTCCTGTCATTGTGCATCAGACAGTGGCTCTTTCTCAACCCATGGTGGCGCAGCTCTACTGACCATGGGCTGGGGAGACTTGTTGTCTCCTGGGCTTTCCTGAACTTGTGCAGTGGGGCTAGATGGCCTGTTGGGGTCATGTGAGGTAACCCCCTCACACTGGTTTAGACCAGTGGTTCTTAACCTTTGTTACTCAGATGCTTTTGAACTGCAACTCCCAGAAACCCCAGTCAGGATAGCTGGTGGTGAAGGCTTCTGGGAGTTGCAGTCCAAAACTCCTGAGTAACCCAAGGTTAAGAACCAGTGGTTTAGACTACGTGAGGTGGTAAGAGATCTGAGGTATAAGTTTCCATTCATTTTGATTTATTTTAAAAGCAGCCATAGCAGAAAGACGTTAATCGGATTGGGACTGTGGCAAATAGGAAAGTCTGGAATTCACTCTGGTTATTCTAGAGAAGCTTCTAGAACTCCCAAACTATGACAGAGGCAGGAGTGCTGATGCCTACCTTGGGCCTCATGCCGGGTACCTGAATCAATGAGTTATCACCTTAAATTTCTGTAAAGGTTTAGCAAAACACCTTGACTGCTTTTGAGGAGGTTCACTACAGTGGTCACATAAGCTTGTGGTCAGAGGCCTACTGACATGTAATCGTGGCCAAGATACAGAACTTTGCCACAGAGCCCGAAAATACTGCAGCCAAGTCTTCAGTGGAAGATCTGTTTTGTTAACCCTTTCTTCTAATCCGTTTTCCTGATCTAAACAATTATATCCTGTCACTCTTTGCCTTTTCAGGAAAATGAGTGGGAGATGGGACAAATAATGACTTACACAGTGTGTTCGTGGGAATAAAAATCTGGGAAACAGAATGAGGAAAAGTGATAAAACTTCCTCTTCCAGTATTATAGTCCCAGTGAAATTATTTGGTGGTAGAGATGGGAATTTAAAGGAAAAAAAGACAGTTAACCAATAGTGAGAGATTTGTTCTGCCTTTCCACTCATGGAATTGCTCCAGATGGCTTCCAGCATTTAAAAACAAAAACCTGGAAAAGAGATAGTTAGCAAGTAAAAATGCAATAAAAAGACAACTAAACCACAAGAGAGCAAAATCACCCTTCTCCATATGTCTTAATCTTTGAGAACTAAATTCAGTGGTAGTTTTTATCTAGAGGAGAACAAAATGAATTAGACTTGTTCGTCATAACTAACTTAGGTCCCATTGAGTTCATTAGGCCTCTTCTGAATAGATTAACTGGATTAGGCTAAAAAGATGCTAAAAGAAACGAGGAGCAAAAGCTTCTTCTAATCGAGAAGCCTTCATTTAGTTCATTAGTGGGCAGCATCCAGAAGCCATTTTCTAGGACCATCCACTCAGAATGAAACTGAAAGTGACCAAAAAGTAATTTCCTTAAATAAAACAAAACACTTTCTGTCCTAAAATTTCCAACAGATTGATTTTTAGTACAGTAAGAGGGATGGTACACATTATTTGTTTGTTTGTTCGTTCGTTTGTTCATTCGTTCACATACATACATACATACATACATACATACATACATACATACATACATACATACATACATACATACATACATACATACATACATACATACATACATACATACATACATACA